TAGACTCCCCCTACTTATCCCTCCAGAAGCTAACACTATCTCCCTCACCTATAACAATCTTAAAACCTTTAGATAGCCATCCAATTATGCTTTGGTTGACTACATCTAATCTACAAACATCTTGCCACCAATTTGATCCTCTCCCTTTGCCCTCTCTAACCCAATTTTCCCAATTTTCCCAATTTTCATCTCCACCACTATATTTTTCCTTAATAATTGAAAACCACAAGCTCTCTCTTCCCCCAGCCAATCGCCCCCACCATTTGCCAAGAAAAGATAGATTAAAGGATCTAATGTCTTTAATGCCCAATCCCCCCCTCCTTTTTACTTTGGCATACCCTTTTCCAGTTAACCCAATGGACTTTTTCCCTTTCCCTATAATCCGCCCCCCATAAAAAATCACTCCTAATTTTATCAATAACTTTAATGATACCTTTAGGTACGAGGTAGACGGACATAAGGAATACTGGGAGAGTCGAGAGCACAAAGTTGATCAGTGTGATTCTCCCACCAAAAGACAGCCATCTTCCTTTCCAACTATCCAGTTTTTTACGAAATAGCTCGATCAATGGTTGCCACATTTCCAATTTCCTTTGATTTCCCCCAATCATCACCCCAAGGTACTTGAAGGGTAATTTGCCAATCTTACAGTGCAGCAAACAAGCCATTTTATTCAACCATTCCTCCTTCACATGTATTCCAATTAATTGGCTTTTGGTGAAATTTATTTTAAGGCATGAAACGAGCTCAAATACTCTCATAATACACTTAGTAGCCCAGACATTGTTCTCTGTAGCTTTCTCGAAGAGAATAATATCGTCTACAAATTGTATATGAGAAATCTTTACTCCCTTTGCCCTATTACAATTCCTTCAAAGATATTTGTGTCCACTACTGATTTTATAATCCCATTAAGACCCTCGGCGACCACCAGAAATAGGAATGGGGATAATGGATCTCCTTGTTTTAATCCTTTGGACACCTTAAACTGTCTAGAAGGGCTCCCATTTACCAGAACCGATAGCAAGCTTGTCCTTAAACATTCCTGGATCCAGCCTTTCCATTTGTCTCCAAACCCAAGTCTCATAAGCATGTAATCTAAGAAGCTCCAGCAAACCTTATCACATGCTTTCTCAAAATCTATTTTCAGCTCAAAACTGTCTTTTCTTTTCTTCTTAGCTTCATCAATGATCTCACTTGCAAGCACCACCCCTTTGAATAATTGTCTTCCTTCTAAAAAAGCCATCTATTGCTCACCTATCACTTTTGGAAGCACAACTCTAATTCTATTAGCTAAAATCTTGGCTTTGATTTTGTACATTGCCCCAATCAACGAGATTGGCCTATATTCTTTAATTTTTTGAGGATTAGCAACCTTTGAAATTAATGTGATGAAAGAAACATTAGCTCCTCTGACCAGTTTGTCATTTTTCTAAAACTCCTGGGCAAAACCAATAAAAACAAAGACAAAATTAAATAAAATAAAATAATCTTAGACACAAAAGAAAACAAGTCTCCTACTGCCTTATCTTAACCATTCATTTATAATTAGCTAAAGTATTTTGTTGGAAGGTGTAATGATTTTTTTTTCCCATTATATTACCAAGGTTTTCATGGAGACAGTTTAGGTTAAAAAATCAAGATTTGATTTGAGACTCATGTTGTTCTTTTTCTTTTTCAAACTACTGAATTTTGTCTCAACTGTTTATTTCCTTGTGATTTAATTACCTCCACAGTTTAGCCTCTCACATTATCTTCGTTTTTGGAAAATTAAGGAGAGGTAGACTTTACACCAATTACCCTCGTATAGATATATACACATACAAACTAATACAAAATATCATTAAATTACTCTAAAAGAAACTCAAAATTATGAAATCAGACAAAGTGATTATATATAATCACTGCTTCTGAGTAATTCTCCTATAGTCGGTAAGTTCACAGAAGAGTAACTTGACCATTAACATAGAAATTAAAACACATAAAGTAAATGTAACACAACTCCCACATTTTTCACTTGGACCAAATTATGTCCAAATACATGATAAAATAGAGCAAAAGTTTCTCTTTCTAGAGGGTCAATGAAGCCTTAACCCAATCATGACAGTATACATGGTCACTATTCATGAGGGGATTGACATTAAAGGGAAAAAAAAAAAAAAACTTAAGTGGGTATTGGTAAAGAAACATCAAAATATTTGACTTGCCTTTCTTCATTTTGATTACTCTTTTTTTTTTTCTGTATCAA